CACAATGACTTCAAAATTCTGTCCACGATATCTAACATACTCGACCTTCTCCTCTTAAAATCCATATACATCCACAGGATGAAACCCGAATAGAATGACATGTTCTGTATATTTTCCACAATGTTTCTGCCCATTTTTTCATCTTATTACCCATTTTATTGCCTATTTTATGAACGGTTATTTCCTTGTTTCTTTTGGTATCTAATTATATGTCATGTTCATTATTCCTCGTAATCATGATGGAGATTTACTGTCTTCGAATAAAGCTGTTTACTACAGCCGTAGTACTCATTTTCAATATATATGTGTGTGTGTGTGTGTGTGTGTGAGTGTGTGTGTGTGTGTGTGCATATAAATACATATACATACATACATATATATATATATATATATATATATATATATATATATATATATGTATGCATTTATATGCACACACACACACACACACACACACATACACACACACACACACACACACACATATATATATATATATATATATATATATATATATATATATATATATATATGTGTGTGTGTATGTGTGTGTGTGTGTGTGTATGCATATAAATACATATATACATATATATATATATATATATATATATATATATATATATATATATATATATATTTATATATATATATATATCTTATATATATATGTATATATATATATATATATATATATATATATATATATACATACATATATATATATATATATATATATATATATATATATATATATATATATATATATACATATATACATATGTATATCTGCATGCACATATATATCATATATATATATATATATATATTTATATATATATATATATATATATATATATATATATATCTTATATACATATATATATATATATATATATATATATATATATATATATGCATATATATATATATATATATATATTATATATGTAATATGATATATATGTGTATGCAGATATATATATATATATATATATATATATATATATATGTATATATATAAATATATTTCTATACATAAATATTTATGTATATATGTATGTATGAATGAGGAAAACACTCTACCGTGTTCATGCTATGGTAGAAAAACCCACAATGTTAAAACTAGATTTTCATTTTCAATAAATCTAGGTTTTTCTACCATATGTATGTATGTGTATGCGTACACACACACACACATACACACACATATATATGTATATGTATATATATATATATCTGTATATATGCATATATATATATATATATATATATATATATATATATATATATATAAATATATATATATATATATATATATATATAAACATATTATATCCCTTTCGCGCCTGGCGGGAAGTCAGGTTCCCGCTTAACATTTAGTACCATAGCTATATACTACTGATGATGGGAGAGGCGAAGACACTGTCGGGAACCTCATTACCCTCCTAGGGATCAACCAGATTGTGAATCTGGCAACATTTGCTGCCCGGCGTGACAAAACAATCAAGCAGACGATTTTTTTTGCAGTGAAGGTCCCACCAGAAATTTATGCTACATTTCCAACCCAATTTCTCTCATATATCGGTAAGTTGTACTGTGTTTTTTTGTCAGTTTATTCTTTAGTGAGTCAAGAACACCCAGAGTTATTAAAAGTATACAAAGCAGTGAACAGTTTTATGATATATAGCTAAATGTGGCTGGGTATTCAAGTTCCCGACAGGGATTTAGTCATACTTTCAGATTGTTGATTATATGTATAGAAAAGGTGTATTCACATCATTTATTGTTTATCATCTTTTACTATATTTGAAAAAAATAATTTACCACTACCACTGATGAATAAAAATGTTGGAGATCCCTTTTTTTTTTTCTTCTTCGGTAATGAAATTTTTCTACAGTTATCCATATACTTTTGAATAGAAAATAAGTATTGAGAAACGATTACAGAAAATTAATTTCAGCATTGACTGATAAAGTTTTCCGGGACGAAAAATAAGTGGCGGTAGGCCAATTCATTATTGCCATAGCACATTGTGTTGCCAGTATATATTGTTATTGTTTTTTTTTACTTCAGATACCAGCATGGCAGCAAGGAAAGACCTAAATGAAGAGAGTTTCTTGAAACTTTTAGAAGACCTTCCATCGGATTACGACTCCGATACAGATGTAGAAGAGGATATAGATGACCCCGAGTTTGAGGATGACCTTACCCAATTCAGCCACAATACTGTATCAATTGATCCTTTATTACGAGCTCAAAGAGAGTCTGAAGAAGCCACAGCAAATTATGAACTTATTGCAACTCACCTGGAGCATCCTACATCAGACAAAGAGGGGCATCCCTCTACTAGTTATCAGTGTCAGCACGACAGACGGCGTTGGAGGAAGAAGCCGGAAGCTGCTCAGAATGTAGAGTTCCAACCTAATTCAATGAATGAGAATTCATATTCGTCTGCACTCCATGCCTTTCTACAATTTTTTGATGAGGACACAATCAGCAATATTGTTTATCAGACAAATCTTTATAGTGTGCAAAAG